ATACATAAGCTGAGTCAGCAATAACTTTTAGTTATTTTTGTTAGTTCACTCTACAAATTATTTATAGTTAGTTTTAGTTAGTTTTTGGAAGCAAAGCCTCATTTTTAGTTAGTTACAGTTAGTTTTAGGAAATTCTTTCTTCATTTTGGTTAGTTATAGTTAGTTAACTAAAAGTCAAAAGACCAAACTAAATGTGCTTTTAGTTTTAGTTATAGTTAACTAAAACAACACTAATTAGAAGACTTGTAGCATGTGATATGCACAAAAGTAAAGCCCAACATTTACTATATACACAGGTAATTAACATGTTGCCAGCCTTTGATCTTTCTTTCAACCCTGTTGAAAGGAACAGTAAAGCCCAACATACACTACAGGCAACATGTTGCCAGCCTTTGATCTTTCTTTCAACCTTGTTAAAAGGAATGGTAAAGCCCAACATACACTACAGGCAACATGTTGCCAGCCTTTGATCTTTCTTTCAACCTTGTTGAAAGGAATACAAAGGCTTTCTATTCAAGGCAACATGTTGCCTGACCACATCAAAGCATAATCAAAGGCTGGGCAAATGTTGAATGCAACATTATTGAATGTAGTGTATGTTGGGCTTTAGGTTTTCTATTCAAGGCAACATGTTGAATGCTTGACCACATGAAAGCATTATCAAAGGTTGGGCAAATGTTGAAAGCAACATTGTTGAATGTAGTGTATGCTGGGCTTAATGTGCTAATTCAGTCATTTATTGTTGAACCATTAACATATGCAGTGCAAATGTGCAGTGAAACTGATATTGTTTAATAGAATCAAATATCTCATGAAATGTCATTATTATTTTATTATCTCCTAGCTTTGTCTACAGGATTACAATTTATGAGCAACAAGGAACTGATTCTTTTACCTCCTCCTCCATTCTTTCTCTCCTGTTATCATTGTCTCAGTATCCAAGCTGCTGGTTTACGTGCAACACAAATACAATCATGATTGGCTGGCTAGGTCAATTCATATTCCTGAAGCCCATTTATCAGTCAGTGTAATGTATGTGTTTGTGCATGTGTGTCTGTTAAAACTACAATTTTATGTATGTGCACTAGGTATGTGATAGACATTGTGATATGAATATTTAGCAGATTAAATACATTTAATGTCAGTCAAGGATGGTGTTAGTAGTTTGCGCTTCAAAATGTATTTGTTATTATAAGTCAATCAATAATTAGTATCAATATTGATCATTATATTACCTCCTCTTTGATAACCTTTTTTGACTTGAAATTGCTAATCCTTTCTCTCTCTCCCCCCCAACTCTTTCCTCTGAGACGAGATAGTGTACCCACTGTATTTTTGTTTTTCTCTTTATTGATTATTTTCAGATGCAATGAATGCATGATTGTTTCAAGAAGTCAAGTTTGTCGTAACAGTTTGCGTGCCGGATTTAGTTTTATATTTATATTTCTTGTTTTAGTTTAGTTTTGATTTTTGTTATCAATTTTTCTTTTAGTTGTGGTTCGCTTTGTTTTTGTTGTACAGTTTTGACACAGTTTTTAAAAAATATATTTTAATTATAACCTACTGATTACAGTATAGTTTAAGTTCAGTGACCATGATGAGGGCAAGGATACCTCTTAAAACAAATCTTTATTTCCTTTGTCTCTACAATAATCTCATAATAACTAGGTGGTATTACTGGTTTTGAATGGTTATATGGAGGATACAAGCAGGCTTTTGTAAATTTAGACACAGCACTACTCCCGCTGGTTAC